GAACTATAAATATACACATATTCAAACAAGTCATGAACTGTTTTGAAATAACGATAATGTACATATTTCTTCACCAAAACAACTTCCTGTAATGGTAAACTTTGGATCACTGTTTGGGGCTACTATTTCTATGTAATAGTGAGGTATTCACGAACACAGTACATTAAAAATATTCTGATTGTTGACTAGATTTTGTGTTTCCCCATGTCACCATTGACTATCATTCACTGTCAAAATTTGAGCAAGACTGGCTTGGCCACATGGCAATGCCAACATTAAACCTCATCAGCATAACAAACTTTACTCAGAAACCTCTGACGTAATGCAGGATGATCCTGGTGGAGCTTGGAACATCAATATTACATACACTGGTGAAAAGTATCTTGCCCTTTGGTCATTGGTATAATACACATTTCCTAACTAACATCTCGGCACTATTAATGTTTAGAATTTTTTTTACAACATTCTGACTTTCTTTAGATATACAAGCTTTGTCATATTCAACAATATTACAGCTATATGTTGACAGCCAGTAAATAGTCGAGTGTGGACCAGACAAGCCAGTGACTGATATGAGCAACGATCCATGCCGTCGGAGTACCACACACAACCAACCAAACCATGGAGCATGGCCACCTGAAGCATGTGGTAGCCGTGTATGACAAGCAGAGGAAAAAGTAAACCACCACAGTACAAATATTTTAGTGTGAGAAATAGTGACATAATTTTATTTATTGACTATTTTGAACACTGTTAAGTCTTAATGGCTGTGCACTTTGATGTTGTTGTCGGAAATTGGAATGGAACCCACGAGCTAACGCCTTTAACCACTAGGCTACCCGACCCCCCTGAGTGAGTTAGTGTGTGAGTGAGAGAGTGTGAGTGAGAGTGTGAGTGTATGTTTTGTGTGTGCCATCAATACCTGAAGGGTTTCATAGTAGAAACGCACTTGTATATCATTTGAAATGCATGCCATGTGTTTCCTTGTGTTTACGGTTCACGAACTGTTCTACATGTGCAACGGTGCAAATGGCACGTGCAATAAGCAAAGTGCCATGCAGATATTGTCGAATATCAGCTGGTATATAAACATCAGAATTAATACATGTTTAAGTCCCAAAATCAATTGGATGTTGGTTCTGTGTGATTATTTACTAGCATGTGTTTACAAGGTATCACTGCCATCATGAGAAATATCCGATTCACAAGTACAACCCAATCAACCCATGTTGTGATGTATATTTATACATACGGTATATACTGGTGTATCAAAAATACAAAGAGAAAAACTGTTGAGTGAACCACAACCACTTTGTATTACAACAGTGACAGCAAAAACAGCTACTCTGATGGGTTAATAATTTCACTCCTAAACTAACAATATACCTACACTCTTTATTTCAGTATAAAGTCGAAAAACATCTGCTCACAATCAAACCATATGTGTAAGTTATCTAAAAAGAAGAAGCATTTCAAGAAGAATCGACCTTGAACTAAAGAGAGCAGCTAATCACAAGATAAATTACGGATAAGTCAGATAAATATGTGTTTGATTTTTAAGGTGATTGGGATCCTTGAGGTTGGCTCCCATAGCATTTAGGGACCCTATCCATTTTAAATATTCACCATTAGGGTTACAACAAGGACACCATGACTTTCATGCTTAATTTCAAACACTGAATATCGATGTAATAAACATTCAACATTCAATATTAAACCTTGTATAGGAAAGGTTTCATTAGTGTTCATTTTGTTTGTTCAAAGGCTCCATTTATCGACATTGAATAGTGGCCATGAGTCATCGTCCTCGTGGTTACATCATATAGTGGTAAATAGTGGTGCAATACATCAACAGAATCACTCTTTTTCCAATATGGAGTTACACACTAAACAGTTACCTCCCCTTATTAAATGGATGCATAAATACGTCATACAAATCAAAATCTACAGTTTGAAGGCAAAGATACCATCTTGTCATAATGCCTTATTCTGACTATCATGTACACAACTCAAAATACATTTAAAGAGCACCTGATTCTTTCCTAATACTATTGGTATTCAGTCATGGCATGCATGACATTAATAATAGTAATATGAAAGAATCTGGTATATTTTAACTTCTTTTGAGTAAACCTGAATGGCCATTTTGCTCAGTTCAGTTCAAAATTGCACAAAATGATAATCCATGACTGATCTGTTGTAAATCATAATCTGAGACCCTCAGCTTTGGGGGAACCATTTCATAATACTACAATTATGTAATACCTCATGAACTGACAACTGAAAACTTCATTACCTCAGCACAAATCGGATCAAGTGATTGCATCTTACCGTCTTGTACAGTTTTGAGCAGGAGGCCACTATAGAGGAAATAATTTGGCACTTTCATAATCAGCTTCCAATGTTCACGGACACTTGATAGATATTTGATATGTGATATGCTGTCTAGGCGCATAGCAGAATTGATATGTGGTGATTACAATCAAATAAATAAAACATGTCGTCCTAATCAAACTCAAAAAAAGAGATAGGATTTCAACATGTCAAATTCCCTGTAACATTCCAATGCACAATCAACACTCCCTCCAGCCACAGAGTCTAACAGCTCCATGACAAATCTCTGGAGCAGGCGACTATCAAGCCTCTTCGAACAAGGTCCAGCCAGACATACACCGTCCCGGATAGAAGAACGCTGACGGCACATCTCCATAGCAGCCTGCAAGACCCAGACCAGACATTAGTCATCTGTGGAACACGCAGAGGGACAGACAGAATAGGCGGTGTCACTTTCTACCTCCGTATGTGGAGCAGGAACTGTGAGAGGTGGTTCGGTTGCCATGGCGGTCAGCGGTGGAGGTATTCCCATGCTTGTTGTATCTCACTGCAATAACAACAGCAAGGCAGCCGGCTGTAGAAGCATGCAATCATGCACTGAAAGTTACAGGGAATTGCCAGACATTGCTTTATGTTGGTCTGGCTGACATTCTTTGTACCTAATGCACAATTAGCGATGTAGAGTGAAGAGATAGGTCTGTACAAGAACTGATAGAGCTTTCTAAATCCACATTCAAATCTGCTATGCATAGAAACTCCTGGTACTGAAGTTATCACAGGATTAGAGTTATTAGTGATTTAGTAAACAAACAGTTAGTAAACCATGCCCAAACATGACTACTGAAAATAGTTAACATGACAATGAATCCTTTCATGATGGGGAAATTATTTCACTGCAATAATAAAATGGACAATAGTTACACACTGGGGAATGGGTGGTTTAGGTTGGGCTGTGTGGAATAAGGAAATCACATGCAGACATTTGCCCTTACATGATATTCAAAACTTGGGCTTTTTGTTTAAAATAAACGTCAATGTTCAAAGATGTGTTTCATACACAGGAACCTCAGTATCCTGGTCCTTACACTACTCAAACACAGTTAAAGAACACCTGAGTCTTTCATAATACAGTCCAACATTGTGTCGAAGATGAAGGGACCTATGTAACTGCTTCGGGTTATCCAAGGTTCAACACAACCGAAAATGAGTGAGTGAGTGAGTATGGTTTTACGCCGCTTTTAGCAAAATTCCAGCAATATCACGGCAGGGGACACCAGAATGGGGTCCACACATTGTACCCATGTCGGGAATTGAACCCGGGTCTTCGGCGTGACGAGCGAACGCTTTAACCACTAGGCTACCTGACCGCCCCCAACCGAAAATGATGAATAAAGAGGGAAAACGTGGTGACCATGCTTTAACTTCGAGACAACAACTTTAACAACAATGTTTGTACTGTGGTTAATCTGTCGGTCATCGGAACTAGTCAATATTGACTGAACTTTCATTTACATAAAGGTACGATCTCATAAAGACTATTATCTCCTGTACACTCGAATGAATAACAAATAAGCAGTGACCTGGTTCAGCAGTTTAAATTAACCTCAGCTATTTACTTGTCGATGACACAAAGGACCCGTCCCAAAAGGTCTGAAATTCTACTGGCCCTTGGGATACTTGTAACCTTAGCATGGATAACATGGCCAGGCAGGCTAGAGCCAATTTCTATCCCTGCCTCAGGGAAGTATGGGGTATCAAATCCAGATCTTATCATCAAACATCTGACATGATCAGTTTGTTTCCAGTAATCAATTGACCATAACCAATTGCTTATTTTTTTCTGCATTTTACAGATATTGTCAAAGAACCTGTTGATGTTAACTTATAAGAATCTTGTCCATAAATGAAAACACCTGATTGGTGGCATATTGATCACAGATATGTTTAGGAGTCACGTACATAGCAAACTAACCAAGGGAACCGTTCAATGGGTCGGTAAAAAATTTACTAATATCACTAATTGCATTATTTCTCTTCCGCGACTGGCTAGGAGCACTTACAGATGATCTTTGTATAAGTACATGTAACCAATCGATCTTCATCACTAGAACATCACCATTGAAGTAATTTTCATAGCTAAGGAAAGGTACAGGTTATGTAAAGTTAATAAGGTGTACCTGTTGGAATCTAAAAGATCCAAAAAAGAAATAACACTTTTCAACTGTCTTCATAATCAGTAAATGTCATTACACCATGAGCTGATAATAAGCAGTTGTAATCGGGAAAGTTTGCCCCTTCGTTTCACTGGGACTGATAACCTATTCAACTGTCTAATTGGGTTGTCTAATGAATCATACACTGTATTAATGATGTTTGTATACTAACCTCAAGTTATGCACATTTTTCACTCATGATTTTTAACCCTGCCAATGGAACTATTATACCAACAATTTTGACCCCTGCAAGACAGGGGGTTATTTAACAGGAGCAGCATGTGATGGCTCTGGTCATGTTAGGTGAGAGAGAGCATGGCCCTGTGCAGCTTCTTGCAAGGTAGGAGGAGACGTGAGAGCTGGGAGGAGATTGCAAGGGAGGCCAGAAGCAGAGGCATCATGCTGTGGTCATCTTATGTAATCTAGCAGTGGAACACGTGGATGCAGACTTACCCCCTGGTTTCCTGAAAGGTGCATTTGAGAAGGGATCTGAAGAGTCGGACCCGGACATGACTAAATCTTCTCTACTTTTTACATTGGATATACCTGTAGAAGAAAAGAGACAAGATAAGATACAGCAGAGTAAGTCAGTGAGAATGGTTTTATGCCGCTTTTAGCAATATTCCAGCAATATCACGTCTGGGGACACCAGAAATGGGCTTCACACATTGTACCCATGTCGGAATCGAACCCGGGTCTTCGGCTTGACGAGTGAATGCTTTAACCAAGCCCAGATACAGCAGACAGGAGAAGGGTGTAAACATGGAAAAGAATGTCGCGTTCAAGATTATTGCACTTATATAGCGCCATGTGCGTGCGTGCGTGCGTGCGTGCGTGTTTGGCCGACTGCTTGTAATCCAGACTAATGCCAACTCTATAGTATTCGCCCACTGAGATACTATGCAGCAGTTTAAAATGAATACCCTACTCAGACACACTATAGTGACTTTTACCCTTTAATGGCGAGCTCTCGGCAGGGTAACAACAAGTACCATCTTTTAACGTCTTTAGTATGACGCGGCCGGTGGTCGAAACCCCAACCTTCAGCTCTCTGGGCAGATGCTCTACAACTATACCACGGATGTGCTCGTAAACATGGTAAAACAATAAAGCACTATAATTATTGTGAGTGAGTGAGTGAGTGAGGAGAGAGAGAGTGAAATGTTTAAAGCTGCTGTGAACAGTTTTCCAGTTATATCACAGTGTGACATACCTGTGACAGCTTGGTGAAATTAGGACAACTTACTTGTGTTGGATCCACGCCTTATTCTATCAAACTCTGCACCAAACATCATGTCATCTGAGTTGGCTCCAAAGTTGTCATCACCGAAAGGGTTCCAATCTGATAAATCTACAGATAATGCCCTAATGTGTTCTGACCTGTCAAATGAAAACAAAATATTAATCATCAATCTCAGCTATATGTCATGCTAAGGAGCCACTTAACAATGCTGGGACCTTTTTTCTGGCAAGCAAGGTGGTGGGGAACATAATTTATAAACTATTTATAAAATACATACAATAACAGAGAAATTACAACTTCTAAACTTATTTTCATTTGATTTATTTGTCACTAGAAACCCCCAATCATCCACCAGCTCTTTACTTTTGTAAACCAGAGGGAGCATTCTTTCCAGAAATCCCCAGTGGGGTGAAGGCACTTCTGCTGCCCGTCACTGAAAACTTACAATGGAGGAGAGTGGACTGGTGTTGTGCTGGCTGACTTAGACTTGTTCTCCAGGGGAGCGGACAGAAGGTTGCTGGTTGCATTGTAGGCCCTGTACAAACACAACACATCTCTCATGATAATGACACTGTGATGGACTTCTATCCCTTCCAAAAACATTGTGAAAACAGGTGCCCTGGGCCCACTTGACTGCAAAACTGTGAGCCACCCAAACAGCTTTAAAAAGTAAAACTGGCAAATGTCAAATACCCATATTTAACATGTGAGTGAGTATGGTTTTACGCCGCTTTTAGCAATATTCCAGCAACATCACCAGGGGACACCAGAAAAAGGCTTCACACATTGTACCCATGTTGGAAATTGAACCCGGGCCTTCGGGGGAACACTTTAACCACTAGGCTACTAAACCGCCCTAATTTAACATGTAAGAAGTAGGCAAACTTAACACACCCACAAGTGATCAACAATCAGGTTTACTAACTTTTCGCATTAACATTTCCAAGTTAAGCACATTTAACATTTCGCTGATCGCAAAAGTGCAGTTTAGATTCTCATAGCTGATTTGGCACTTGAAGTGAGTGAATTAGTGACCTAAGGCTGCTTTGAACAGTATTCAAGTTATATCACAGCATGTCAGTTTAATGTGTGAGGAATTCCTGAAGTAAAGGGAAAGGAGGAAAAGAGACATAATTGCGTATTGCTTTGTTTTGGGCTGGAACATTCGATTTGATGTCATGGAAACCGGGAAAAATACAAAATAAACAGCAAAAGTCACCACCAGTTCATGGCTAGAATGACTGAAAGTTTTTTTGAGTTTTGTGGAAACAAACCTAACCCTTATCTGAACTCCATCTTGTCATGGAAATGTGATAAATACAATTTTCAGAAATCCCAAAACATCAAAAGGTACAAGTTTAGCACATACAGTGATCCCTCCCAAGAACGCTACCTTCAGGGTCCAAATAATTGATGAGTCTTATAGAGGATCGGCGGTATAACCGAGATGGAGTCGTAGAGGATAGATGACCAACAACACAGGAAACATGCTCTGCCTATCTGACAAGATCTATGTTGCACGTTTCAGAGTTTTAAAAAAAAGATATGTATAGGAGTTGTTTATGATTCATGGTTTAAAAAAAATAAACTATCAAGTGTTACTTACACGCTTTTAAAAAACCCAAATAGTATCCCTTCAGCGAATAAACAGGTATAACAAACTTGGTGAACAAAAATATGAAATATAAAACATCACCAGAGATGATGATTTACCATTTAAAATGTATTTCCTGCTCTCCAAGGCATTGTTATATATGCGGAGATTATGATTACCGTGTGTATTTTCTCGAAAACTAAGTCAGAAATAGCAATCAGCTGTGCACACGTTTCCTCCCAATCTACCAGTGATTCAGTTAAAAAGTACCCAATGATACAACTTCAAAGAATTTGGATGCAATGATTGGAAGAAATTGTATCTGAAATTATTATTTTATCAGGAATAATATATTCCAATGTCATGTTATTTTAGTTGCAGCTTTCACTATATATATTTAAAATTATAAGAACCATAAGGGCAGCACTTTGGGACAGGTGGTATGCAGGATGTTTTTACGGTGTGTTGGAAAGCCCGAAGTGATACAGATTTCGGACATTTACCATTTGGGTGAAACCCACGAGCACGGGTATGATGCTGACAAACCTAGAAACATAATCAGGGCGAATCGGGATTTGAACCCACAATCATAGGTTTCTGACGCATGTCCGACAGCGAATCACGGCGCCTTAGACGACTGGGCCACCCATGCCCCCTCTACATATGGAACAATTTGACCAGTCACGGTAGAGACTTCCTGAGCTACATGTATTTTGAATGCAAAAAGGTTATGTTGACATTTAATAGTCAACCTGCCTCAAAAATAACTTTTAATGAGTCACTGTATGGCATTTATGATATATGTATCCATTTTCTTGCAAGTAAAGTTTGTTTCAAGACGTCAATAGAAGTAATCTGACTGTGGTCGCTGTAAATAACCGATCACTTTGCACACAATTTCTCCAAAATTATTGACATTATTGAATGAAATTTAGAATAAAATAATTAAAATATATTATGAAAGAGCATAAAAATGTCAAACCTGTGTCTACAACCCCAAATATGTCCTATGAATGAAAGTTTACTAGAGTACATTGTCTAGGTACATTGGAAACAGGAGATGACATATCTCCCTGGTCTGGTGCAATTTGGAAATGGAGTTTGGCTACTTATACCCCACTTTTGGCTCACTGTCAGTTCAGTGAAGAAAAAGATAATGCTCTTCAGTAGTTTTCACTATCCCAATTCATCAAAAGGCACCAGTGCACCACTAGGGTTCAATAGTTAGGGAGGCTCCGGAGATGAGAACTACCCTCATTGGACAGACAGACATGCTGATCGCTATATCCTGCCATTTTTCAAAGTGGTTGCATTAAAAAGGATTGGTTTGTTGTATAACGCTGCACTCAGCAATATTCCAGCTATATGACGGCAGTCTGTAAATAATTGAGTCTAGACCAGACAAACCAGTGATTAATATCATGAGCATTGATCCACGCAATTGGGATCTTCAGCGAGCCTGACCACCCGATCCCGTTAGTCGCCTTTTATGCCAAGTATAGTCGCCTCTTACAGCAAGCAATGGTTGCTGAACACCTATTGTACCCCGGATCATTAAAAAGGACTTTGAGCCAAGAAGGTTTGTCAAAACCTGAGAGCACTCACCTGAATGCACTTCCCTTGCCCCCCATGGTGAGGAATGACGTATCACTGACATTCCGCCGATGAGCTTTCACGTGCCTCTGAGGGGATGCAGGTGGGGTGAGGGCAATAAGAGGCTGGTTATCTTTCTGGAAACAGACACAGGTTTCACTTAGGATTTCATGTGACACACAATTCTGGTGAATCGTTGCCATACAAACATTGTGAATGAACTTTTAAGATTAAATTAAAACCACTGCCAGTGAGTGAAGAGCATGTTGCTAAACACTGTAGTCAGCAAAATACCAGCTGTATCATTGCAGTCTGCAAATAACAAGTCTGGGCCAGGCAAACCAGTGTTTGACAGCATTATTCCTACTGTATCACAACAGCCTATAAGCAAAAAGTCTAGGCCAGGCAAACCAGTGTTTGACAGTAATATTCCTACTGTAGCACAACAGCCTATAAGCAAAAAGTCTAGGCCAGGCAAACCAGTGTTTGACAGTAATATTTCTACTGTAGCACAACAGCTTATAAGCAAAACGTCTCTACAAGTATGAGGAACATGCACCTCTTCTTACCTCAGGTCTCCAGATAAATGTTCTGAGCATTTTGGCAGTCCATTGGGTTTTTAGGCCAAAGAACAAACCATTTTTTTAATATAACTCTCCTAAAAATTCTCTTTCAGATGACATCTAATTTGGAACTACATGTATTCATTTGCTGGCCCAAGTGTTTCTGTCACATGATCTCATAAAAGAGATATGCACTTCTAAGTTAATATAAGCGAGGTGAAGTTCTTTATCACATCATTCACGACAGTAGAATTTATGTTTATGTGATGCCGGAATCCATCACTAATTAAGGATCTATAAACAAATACACAACACAAGCTGAAAGGATGCATTGTGTAATTATGCACCATGTTATTATGCTGTTTGTTAAACTATAACCCATACTTGTATGCAAGCAACTCAAATTAATTAGGTAGAGGTGCCTTATTTTGTTATATAAAACAAAGATGCAGCTTCTCTAGAGCTGTCACCTGGATTTGGTTTGGTTTGTTGTTTTAGACTCTACTGCAGTGCACAAGAGGACTATGTCCTGCTTACTGCAACTGAGACAGGTGTTGTCGTGAGCTTATGCAACATTTGGCGGCACATGCACTGAATAAACTTAGAATTTACCTGAAACAGCATTTTAAGCAGAATTATTTAAAAAAATGTCTACCCATTGGTATCAAAATACCCAGGAGACTTGGTTGGTTGGTTTGTTGTTTCATGCCACACTCAGCAATATTCCAGCTATATGACGGCAGTCTGTAAATAATCAAGTTTGGACCACACACTTCAGTGACTGATATCATGAGCATCAATCAACGCAATTGGGATCGATGACAAGCTTCAACCAAGTCAGCGAGCCTGACCACCCGATCCCGTTAGTCGACTCTTATGACAAGCGTAGTCGCCTTTTATGGCAAGAATGGGTTGCTGAAGACCTGTTCTACCCCAGATCTTCACGGGTACTGTCACTTGAAATCCAAACAGGATTAGACAGTACAAACATAATTAGGCCAGCAACAGCCACTGAAAACACACCTGATCATCATCAACTGTGTTCATCTTTGGAGGAGGAACAACAGGCTTTTTAAACATATCCTCCTGCGTTGATACACATGGTGGAGTGGTCTCTTTCTGTTGTTGCTGTTGCGGTTGTTGTTGTTGTTGTTGTTGCTGCTGCTGCTGCGGTTGTTTTAATTGATGGTGATGTAGGTCATCATCAATCTGTATTAACTGTCCTGTTTCTACAGAAGTAACACCAACACCCCCTGCTCCCGGCTCTTGGAATGGGTCAGAGAAATTGGCAGGGAACATTAAGTTTTCAGCACTATGAGACTGTGAGATAGCCTGCTGCTTGTACTGGTCACTGAGGACATGTTGTAATACTGCAGGGGGTTGGGACGAGTACATCTGGGAGCCCTGGGGTACAGGCAGTTGCTGCTGACCCAGGAACTGCATCTGTTGTGAGTTGAAGACAGGTGCTTGCCCTGGGGGGTACTGTGGTGATGGCTGTTGAGGGTACTGTGGGGAGGGTGCTAGGTGCTGCTGCCCAGCGTAGCTTGGAGACGGCTGCTGGGGATCTGGTGACAAACGCACAAATGATGTTATCTAAAGAACAAATGATGGTGGTCAAATCTTTGTGTCATATGACGAAGAATAAGAAAAAGGTCTCATCAAAAGTTGAACCTTAAAAAAGCACTGAAAACATCCGACCAAAATGTAGAACTTCAATTGTCACAACCCTAATGATAATTTCAAACACTGCTTTTCATTATGTTTGTTAGTTTGTTGTTTAATGCAGCACTTGGCTAATACACATCAACTTGTCTAAAATCTCAAACATTTCTTAAAGGCTAAATAGAATAATAGTCTTGGTTCTCAGGCTCCACCCGCATCATCATAAAGCCCAGCAATGTTTCATTTTTATTTCTATTTTTAAAAAAAATAAAGTCTTTAAACATTCTGCGTCTCGAACACACAACCCAGGCAGTGAAATGCTACAATACTTAAGAAGAAGATGATTTTGTCGAAATCATTGTAAACAAAATTTGGTTACACACTGGCTTGAACAACCAAAAAAACAAAACCACCGTCCACCAGCACTATATATTCAAAAGTCATTGCCTGAGAACCAATACTTTTAATTTTTTTAAGCCTAATTTATTGTTGTATATATTTATTATCATCAATATCTTGATTATAGCAGGGATGCCAACCCAAATTGAAGCTCTGGAGTAATCGGGATACAAAACAACAACATAATTTCATGTAAAAAAGCATGATGTTAATGGTGCCAGGATGCGTGTTTTGCCTCAACATTTTCGTTAGGCCCAGATGTATGTGGAACACAGGTACATGTGCACTGAAGCTAGTAATAAAGTCAATCAGGACACCATCACTATTTGAAAAATAAGGCGATAAAGCTCAAAATAAGCAGAAGAAATGACTGCTTGTATTTGAATGGTTTAATATGATATTATCAGATTATACTTTGAACTTAAATATCAAAGCAATCCATAAACACTGAAAAAAATGGATAATATTTTTTAACCTCTACAAAGTTTTATAATGAGGTGCGACAACTCTATCAGTGACATCCATCGGGGCCGCATTAAGAAAGCACGTAGTATTTTGTACAGCTTTGGCAATTAAAAATCATTTTAATTACCAAAGCATTTCATTCAAGCTTGTGTGAGCGGTCAAACCCCCAATCATATTACGAAGGGGCAAAAAGGGGCGTCACAAAAACTTGTGAAAGGCGTTAGACTATATCCAGTATACTGCATTGTTGCCGAAACACATGGTCAAAGCTCCATATTCATAAAATTCATCATGCAACAATACATTTTGAACTTGTAGAAAGACAATATTGGTATAAATGCAATTAGTTCCCTACAGAAAGTGTCATGTGACCGGTGCATGAACAATTTGATCTCAGTGATATTTTATGCATTCAAATAATTTGGGGAAAAAATGTCAAAAATCGTAATTTGGGGACAAGCATAATAGCGTAAGTTTAGGCTCAAAAGCGATATTATTTTGCCAAAAACATAATGGTTGGTTGGTAATATTACCAATTTACTTATATTTTTTAATAGATTATTATTCCTAGTAATGGAACGGATACATTGTTCCACATGGAAATGATGAAAGTATTGAGGTCAGCTTGTCAACGTACCAACAGGTGTGTTAGGGTTGCTGGCTGAGGGTCTTTTCCTCGGCACTATAGCAGTCTGAATGGGCAATCCAAGACCTCCACTCTGAGGCATTGCTGACCCCTTCGGCCTCTGTCTAGGTGTCACGCTCGTACTCTCTATTGATGATGATACCACCGACCTGCACAGGAGATACAACAGTTAATAATTATCTAGGTCGCAAGCAAGCATACCCACTAAACCCTAAAAAACGACACTGACTAAATTCTTTTTTTTGTTAACCTAATAATATAATAATAATAATAATAATAATAATAATAATAATAATAATAATAATAATAATGTCTGTTTGTTTGCCACAATGAATAAAGAAGTTGTACTCTGTACGTCTACTCTTTGTTTGTTTGTTTGTTTGTTTGTTTAATTGTTTAACGCTGACTCAGCAATATTCCAGCTATATGAAGGCGGTCTATAAACAACTGAGTTTGGACCAGATAATTCAGTGATTGACAACATGAGCATCGATCCATGCAAATTAGACACCTCTTACGACATGGACATAAACAAAGAAGAGACTATATCCAAGACTCACATATACCTCATGTCTTTGACTTTAACTAATTAATGGACTGGATGGAAATAAAAAATAAAAAATTCCATGTCTTTCAAATACAGAACAAAATCTTTGGGATCGATGACATGTATCAACCAAGTCAGCGAGCCTGACCACCCGATCCTGTTAGTCGCCTTTTACGACAAGCATAGTCGCCTTTTACAGCAAGCATGGGTTGCTGAAGACATATTCTACCCCGGAATCTTCACGGGTGTATTGTATATAGCAATGTTTCGACGTAGATTCTTACACCAGCTTGATAACTGTGTAAGAATCTACATTGAAACGTTGTTAGATGCAATAAACCAGAAGTTATCCATAAATTTGTACGTTTTCTCATTTAGAAGTTGAAAGATCAACACTGAGCAAGGATAAGAATTAATGGATGAACAACTTCCTTATTGTAATTAAGAGTGACGTTTCAGTGTAGGTTCTAACACCAATATCAAGCAAGTGAGCTTACGGTGTTGGAAAGTACACCGAATCATTGCTCCACATTGTAATAAAGAAGTTATTCATCCATAAATTCTTATCCTTGCTCAGTGTTGAGCGTTCATATCTCTAGGAGTACACATAGTAAAAAAGAGATCACCAAATCTATTTTGTAATTCAAAAGTTTTAAGCATGAAATAATGGCAAACAAGAAAATAAGTCTGGTTTGAGGTGAAGGCAGGTTTTTGTAGGAAGGCAGGATGACTTACTTCTGTGCTGTTGTCCTGGTCTGGCGCGCCTCTGCCTCAGACATGGGTGTAGGAAGAGAGTTCATGTCTGGTGTTGTAGAAGACTGGAAGACAGGTACACAATACTAACTCAGTCAACGGCAGCAGCGGATTCATGTCAGTGTTAGAAATTATGCATGAATGTCAGGGGGCCTGTGTCATAACCTTAGGTTACAGATTTCGAGGGTCCCCAGATCCCAACACAATATGAGATCTCAGGGACCCCAGCACACTGCTTAATTTCCAACACTGCAGGTCCACACCAATATGCCCCTACTCCCTTGAACAAGTTATTAGGATATCACACCTGTCACTGGCCCTCCCACTCTCTCTATTAAAGAAACAGTCAAAATAAGAGAGGACTTGATTTCCCTTAAAAAGTCAGCATAACACACAACAAATTTTTATTGTCATAATCAATCCATTTCTATGAGTCTACACCATAGTCTACGATATCACCAAAACAAATAACCCAATGTATCGACCATCATCTACAGATATTACTATCCGAAAATAATATATACTGAGGGAAACAAATCAGGGAACACCACTTTATCACACTGTTCCTTTATTTATTTCCAGATTTTCACCCACAGAGCAACTCAAAGCATGCAAAAACCAGGAAAAGAATAAAGGAACATGTACTTTCATGTGTTCCCTTATTTGTTTCCCTCAGTATAGTACCAAAATAGGTCACACTAGTGGCATAAGGTAGATACTGTATAACAACCAATGCAATGGTACAGAAACATGTAAATACAAAACAGTCGTAACATTATATTCATTCATGACAGACACTTCTACATGTTACTGAAACAATGATGCAAGACTTGACTGCAAACAGTGAGTTGCAAGAGTATGTGGCTCAATAAATGTGACTAAGATATCAAGGAGGGATGTTTGTCTGCCTGTTTTCAGCCACAGTATTACCATCTTAGTAAAATCTAAATATTTTTTACATTTGTATACTTATCCTGCATTACTCCGTATTGCATTTACTGCTATGTTTGACAGAGAGACGAACTGTGTGAGATCCAGCTGCTGAAGAAAGTTGTCCCAACCAGCCCAGGAGGCAGCGCCCTCTCACAGTCGGCACGTGACCCGGAAGTCATGACGTCACACAAAAAGACATAACTGCTTTAAACATAACATCTGAAACTTCGTGGGGAGGTAGCGTAGCGAAAGGGAGGGCACTTAGACTTCGTAATGCAGGATAAGTATACAAATGTAAAAAATATTTAGATTTTACTAAATTTTTTAACTTATCCTGCATTACTCCGTATTGCATCTTTATCAGACGGCTTGGGCGGTGGGCATACTTGCAGATGTGAACCATATTAAACCCTCGTCAAGGTCCGATGAATCCGCACCGCATACAAGTGATGACCGGAACATCTACGACCATTCCTGTCTTCAGGAAACAAGAGTCGATGCAAAAACGAAACGCCCGAATAGGTAACCGAAATACAATGAGGCGTGTAGCCAAAATATATAACTTACCGAAGAGCGAAAGCGAAACGCAGTAGAACCTAGAGCTAATCTGAGGTGATAAACACCAGAGAGTTCGACGGGCCCCGCTCGGGGAATCGAAGAATCAGCGGCGTCGGCGGCAAAATCTACGACCAATCCCAAGAGCGAATGCGAAACGCAGGAGAGCCCTCTAGGCTGGAGGCAAGGAACACCGGTGAGGTCGACGGGCACCGCCCAGGTACCAGAGAAGCAGCGGCGTTGGCGTCGGCGCCGGTGTCCACATCTACTACCATTCCTGTCGTCAGGAAACGAGAGTTGATGCAAAAAGTAAAACCCGGATAGGTGACAGCAATAGAATGAGTCGGGTAACCCAAAACTAAAACTGACCTAAGAGCGAATGCGGAACGCAAGAGAGCCGTCTCGTCTGGGGTGATAAACACCAGAGAGGTCGACGGGCCCCGCTCAGGGTATCGGAGAATCAGTGGCGTCGGAGATAGATGACCTGTTGGGCTACAACCAGGGACCAAAACTTTGAACGCCGGCGACAACTTTCAAGGCTACATCACGGAAGTAGTGGTTGGTGAAGGCGGTGTCCGATCGCCACGAACAGGCTTCCCTGAACGACGGGATGGAACAGTATACCGTGAAGAATCAGTGTAAATACGATCGCCCTGATCTCATTTTATTTCAGGTAATAGCCTTTGGGGGGAGGGTCCAATCCGGCGGCTCATACGCTTTAAGGATGACCGCCCGGAGCCACAGGGAAAAGTATTCCGGCTGACCAACGACAGCGACGAAGGGGAGACCGGCAGAAAAAGGTGTTTCCTAGACTTGCGGCAGTCTTTAGATCGTAGAATAACCTTCAGTGCCCTTACTGGGCATAATGACGCTCATCCTCATCCTCGGCACCCGCACTGGACGAGGGGGGAGGGGACAAGGAATGATCTATCAGGCTGTCCTGGGAGTTGAGTCTTTACGCTGACGTCCCAGTACGGTCCATGATGAACGGCGCCCTGGGTACCGCATTCGAACCGGGCATGGGAGACGTCGAGGGCGTGCTGTACATGGACTCGAGCGGCAGTAGTCAAAACCAGTAGAAACACCCGTCTTCTACTTAAGGTCGTAGAAGGAAGACGAGGGGAGTGGTTCGAAGGGCGTTGAAGACCACATTCAGATCCAACGCAGGCGGTCCAAACTTGGTCTTCAGGTCTTCAAGACTGAACGAGCGCAGCCAGGCCCGTAGGTCGGGAATTTTCGTCTTTCTCCGATCGTCCGGGATGGCCAGAACGGAGTAGATGGCGACCAGGTATGTGGGGGTGGTAAGCCCTTCAACCGATGGGTGCTACACAAGTACAGAAGGAACTGATCCAGGATCTGCGGTGACGCTGTCATCGGATCCTGGTGTTTGTCAGAACAAAATGCCTGGAACAAGCATCATTTATCAGCATACAGTCCCCCTGTAGATGGACGGTGGGCTGAAGCAATAGCCTTGGTCGCTCTAGCCGAATAGCCCTTGGCTTTCTGCATGTGTGTCAGGCGTGCAGACGATAACATGCGGGTATGAGGGTGTGGCTTCTCATTCTAACAGACCGTGTGGATGGAGCAGAAGGTTGGACCACACCGGAAGTTCCAGGGGTTGTCTCTGGCTATGTTTCGGAGGTCGATAACCCAACTTCTGGCTGACCAATAAGGCGAGACCAAAGTCAATGGCAGAGGTCGAGTGGCCTGGATCTCTGAAGAACCGTGGGAGGGAGAACCGGAGTCGGAAAAGCGTACGCGCGTAATCCTTCTCAGGAACGATGGAAGGCTTCGACTGCCACAGCGGTCGTATCCGGCACAGGTGGAATGGAAGACGACAGCTGGCCACATTCAGATATGAGGCAAACAGATCTAGGGTTGGGGTGTCGACCGTTTCACATAGTCTGGCCCGAGGCGCCGGAGAGCGTGAGGTGTCGGAGAGCTTGAGGCGCCTGGAACGCCGAAGATGGTGATTCTCGGGTGCGCCGGTCGAGTTTGTGGCGCCGGGAGAGGGGCGAGAACTCTGGGTCCGCAAACACCACACTACGGTGACGTCGTCAGTGGACACGATCAACAGGGCGTGACCGAGAATGCACTGTCAGCAAGTGCCCTCCTGGATACGCATTTATCTCGAGGCTGTTGCTGTGCCAATGGTGTTGATCTCTGGATCACAGGTGGTCACAATGTGGGCTGGCGTGGGCCACTAGCCACTGACAAGGTGGCAGGGGAGGTAGTCAGCAACAGGGGTCTGCGATTGCGTACCGTCGGTACGATTCGGAAAAAGGTGTGATCGCCTGCGAGCCAACCTCAAGTAGACGAAGTAAACCAGCTTCACAATCGACCGCCGGGGCATCGACGTAACCGGGTAGTAGGAAGTCGAGGCAATATGGCCATTGCACGAAGTAATGAGATCGTTTTCATCCCTGAAGCGGCGTATAAGTACTCCTGTTCTTACATCGAGGTGACGATGGAGGACGACAACACGATACGAGGCAGGTATGCAACAGGGGTCAGTGGGACGGCCGAGGGACTTTAAGTATCAAATCGACACTGTGTCCGGTAGTCAAGGCGGAAGATAGGAAGGTGTCGTAGTCGAAAAGATCAAACCGGACGAAGGAAGGCGATCTCTTCCATCCCTTGAACGCCTATAGGCGCTATCGTTCTTATAGCGAAGGGTTGATGAAACAAGGTTCCTCGTGACAGCCGTGTTGGTAGAGGAGGTCTATTGTTTCCAACATCCGTGCATGGATGGACTGCGACAGGCGCCTGGTTGAGTGGTATCACCAAGCGTACAGGTAGACATGGAAACCAATCTGTAGAAATACATGGCACCCCTTGCCATGGTAAGTTGACCTAAATCCGGTCGGAGTTGTTGACAGTCCAAGTACTTGACACGTGACATGTAAATCACTCTGCGCAGTAGCCGAGAAAACCGCCTTGGAGTCGGAACTGAGGTGCAAACTCCACACACAGACAATCCTCAATGAACTGTGTGAGAGACGATCAAGTGGTGTACCCGAGTTTTGCGATAAAACACGGAACCCCATGGGCGTCGTGCAAAACCCGGGGAGCGCCGAGGAAGAGTCTCTCTCAGGAACGCTGGCGCTAGGGTAGGGTAGAACAGCGTTGATGTCTGCGATGTCGACGAAGTAAACTCTTTGTCAGTGGATGTCGTCGTCGAATCTGATACAGACGCTGTTCACATGACGCTCTGTTTCGATGGAAACCCGCAGGTCATCTCTCCGGAATCATAGCGCTTTAAACGACGGGATTATGGATAACGTCTCAGTGGGCAAGTTGAATCAGACCAACTGTCTATTGGTTGAAATGATTCCACCCAGGAAGTAGAACGATATTTACGATCCCGAAGACCGACGGGAGAGTAGCGAAAGGAGCGGCGACAGTTGTTTCACCATGCTTCTCCGTGTGACGAGTTATGAGACGGCAGCAAGAGAAGAGGGCAGTGGCGCCGGGGAGGTGATTGCCGATGATGCCCCTTAAGCCGCAGTAGAAGATCGGATGGTCGGCTCGTTGATCTGAGCTTGATAAAGCTTGTTGATTGATCTGAAGCTTGTTGAGCGCCGAAGACATCAGAGGATGCGGAGGCGCCGGAGCGCGGAGACATCAGCGGCGCCGGTGGCGCCGAGTCATTGGAGGCGCCGAGTCAACAGCTTGTCATGAACAAGTCATGAAGCTTGTTGAGCGCCGAGACATCAGCGGCGCCGAGTCATCAGCTGGTCATGAACAAGTCATGAAGCTTGTTGAGCGCCGAGACATCAGCGGCGCCGTGTCATCAGAGGCGCCGGGAGCGCCGAGACATTGGAGGCGCCGAGTCATCAGAGGCGCCGGGAGCGCCGTGTCATCAGAGGCGCCGCGTCATCAGAGGCGCCGTGAGCGCCGTGGGCGCCGTGTCATCAGAGGCGCCGTGTCATCGGAGGCGCCGGGAGCGCCGTGTCATCAGAGGCGCCGCGTCATCAGAGGCGCCGGGAGCGCCGTGGGCGCCGTGAGCGCCGTGTCATCAGAGGCGCCGCGTCATCAGAGGCGCCGAGTCATCGGAGGCGCCGGGGGCGCCGGAGACATCAGCGTTGACGGTGTTGGAGACCGTGAACGGTCGTATGTCGTGCCAGGGGAGGCAGACTCTACGTTGGGAGCGCTGGAGCCGCCGGTGGACTAGGAGACCGTGAACGGTCGTATGTCGTGCCAGGGGAGGCAGACTCTACGTTGGGAGGGCTGGAGCCGCCAGTGGAGTAGGAGACCGTGAACGGTCGTATGTCGTGCCATGGGAGGCAGACTCTACGTTGGGAGCGCTGGAGCCGCCAGTGGAGTAGGAGACCGTGAACGGTCGTATGTCGTGCCATGGGAGGCAGACTCTACGTTGGGAGCCGCCGTGAAGCTCCGCTGAGCGCTGCTGCCGTCAACGTAGGTGGGGGTCGACGAGCACGTTGAGCGAGGTGTGTCCTGGATACTCGCATGAGCTGAAGGATCACAGCTACGAATGACTGCAACATCGGCACTGCCTTGTGAAAGTACAGGGCGTCGTACAATCACGGCAGAAAGGGGCGGCCCCGACCAGATTTGTTCCCGCGGAAACAAGTGCAGCGAGGCAGAAAATCTGGAATTTAAGCAAAACATAACTATGTGGCAAAGCCACAAAGTGCGGGAAGCATAATGTGTGGCCAATCACAAAGTATGGGAAGCATAAAGTAACTCAAAAACAGTATATTTTATTAAAGTTTATGAGATAAACAAGTACGCTAAAAGGGAGCGAAAAGGCAAAGCCTTAAGCAAACACGTAACCATGTGGCAAAACCACAGAGTACGGGAGACATAATGTAACTCATAAACTTCGTATTATATTGAAGTTTATGAGAAGAAACAATTACGCTGAGAGGTAGCGAAAAGGCAAGGCTTTAAGCACACCAAAACAACATACATAAATGTAATGTATTACCCAAGCCAAAGAGAGAATTCAAAACGCAGAACACGACATTACGTGGCCACGTGGTGAATGGCCAAAATGGCGGGAAAGAAAACAAAATGGCGGGAACAACATTGCGCCCGTAAATTACTGTGACGTGAGCCACAGACGAGCGATAAACGTTACAATTTACGAATGGGAAGACCCTAAGGTCACGGCCCATATCAGGTAACAATGTAGCAGCATATAATGAATGTAGAAACACGCAAAATATAAAAAACAAATAATAAGCTTTAATTTCCACAAGGGATACAAAGTACGTCCGTCCGTGGAGGTGACAAAGCAGTTATGTCTTTTTGTGTGACGTCATGACTTCCGGGTCACGTGCCGACTGTGAGAGGGCGCTGCCTCCTGGGCTGGTTGGGACAACTTTCTTCAGCAGCTGGATCTCACACAGTTCGTCTCTCTGTCAAACATAGCAGTAAATGCAATACGGAGTAATGCAGGATAAGTTAAAAAATATTGTTATTATATCTGAATATTGACAGAACGGACACACTTACATTCATATTTGGCACAGGGTTTTCCCTTCCCATTAAACGGAAAGCAACACAACACACTTGGTAGATGTCTGGTCTCTTTTCAGGCTCAACTTCAAGCATGAAAGCTGAAACAGATACACCACAAGAATAAGGAATGCTCTTCTAAGGTTTGAGAATTAATTTTTTTTTAAATGTTGTCAAGAAGAGAGAGTAAGAGGAAATGTTAGAGAGAAGAAATGCTTACAAATATAGCGTTATAACAATAGTGAGTGAGTGAGTATGGTTTTACGCCGCTTTTAGCAATATCACAGCGGGGGACACCAGAAATGGGCTTCTTACACTGTATCCATGTGGGGAATCGAACCCGGGTCTTCGGCGTGATGAGCGAATGATTTAACCACTTATGTAGATCATTGTCCATTAACGTAGATCAAGATTTTTTTTTGCTTCAGCAATATTCCAGCTATATAAATTTAGTTGCCTTCCACAACTCGCCTATTAATAAATTTTGCTTCCTTCCATGACTCACCTATTAATAAATTTTGCTTCCTTCCGCAACTCGCCTATTAATAAATTTCGCTTCCTTCCACAACTTGCCTATTAATAAATTTCACTTCCTTCCATGACTCACCAATTAATAAATTTCGCTCCCTTCCACGACTTCCCAATTAATAAATTTTGCTTCCATCCACGACTCACCTGTTTATAAAGATAGTTTCCTTCCATGACTCACCTATTAATGAATGTAGTTTCTTGGAGTATCTGGAGTGATCTGGGACAGTGTAATTACCACTCTGAATGGCCAGCGAGCTTTCTCCAAAAGGAAGTGAGAAGAAGCACAGTTTGTACAACAAGCAGCCCAGCGCCTGGAAGAAGGGAGAGAACCAACTGCACCAAGACAGGACAGACTGCGATGTCACAATGAGGGGTACAACTGGTTCACAATACATAGGAATCAATGATGAAGTCATCCCAAGCCGGCATACTTCCTTTCCATCATATTGTCAGATAGTGTCTATATCTCTTACTCTCTGCAATGGGCACAGTTTCATGAAGCAATCTTAGTGCAACAACTGCCTTACGCTTATACCAAATGGTGGAGTGAGTGAGCGTGTATGGTTTTATGCTGCTTTTAGCAATATTCCAGCCATATCACAGCGGGGGACACCAGAAATTGGCTTTACACATTGTACCCATGTCAGGAATCGAACCCAGGTCTTTGGCGTGACAAGTGAACGCTTTAACCACAAGGCTACCCGACCGCCCCCTAAATGGTGGACATTATGGAGATTGGAGTGCTGCAATCACTTTGTCTTGCAGTTGAAATAAATGTTCTAAGACTATGACGTGTTGGACCGGTTACATACACTATTCACAAGAAGTTAAAAAACACCTGATTCTTTCATATTACAATAGTTAATGTCATGCCACGTCAGATTATATAGTTGTAGACAGACAGACTAACTTTAGTCATACGAAAGAATCAGGTGAACTTTTCTTGAGTTGTAGTAGTAAACACATCAATACAAAACAATTATACTGTCTTTCCAATTAATCAGCTTCATATCAAGGGTCAAGCTATGATAAATGATAAGGTAAGTCCTTGGTAATATTCTAACTATATGACAGTGGTCTGTAAATAATCAAATCTGCAGCAGACATTCAAGTGACTGACATCATCTGCATCGATTCATACAATAAAGATACAATGACACGCTATCAACCATCACTGATTCTGATCCATTAAGTCGCCTCTTACCACAAGCATAGGTTGCTGGGATCCTATAGTCTTACTCATAATCTCCACAAGTTAGTAGTTGGAGTGTTGTCGATCATAGCAGTACATCTGGAACACAGAAACTCACCCATATGTCAGCCTTTGTTGTGATGGGTTTCCCCCCATAAAGATCAACCATCTCAGGTGCTCTATATGATAATGTTGTATATCTGGAAAGACATTCAGGTCATATGTAAATTACAAACACATTTCTTTCAGGTGCCTGAAGTCGACACTTTAAAAATTTTTTAAACAAAAACACTTATTACATTAATATGTACTTTCACAAAAGTACACCGGACAAACATGTGGAAAATAAATACATGAACATGCTTAACAAACAGTATAATTCACTGAGTGAGTGAGTGAGTGAGTGAGTGAGTGAGTGAGTGAGTGAGTGAGTGAGTGAGTGAGTGAGTGAGTGAGTGAGTGAGTGAGTGAGTGAGTGAGTGAGTGAGTGAGTGAGTGAGTGAGTGAGTGAGTGAGTGGGTGAGTGGGTGGATGGGTGGGTGGGTTGGTTGGTTAGGTTTGTTTTCACTCCACTTTGAACAGTATTCCAGTTATATCACAGCATGTCCGCTAGATTTGGAAGGAAAGCCTGAAGGGATGCAGGTCTTAGACGTTTACCACTTTGGTGAAATTCACAAGAATGGGTATGGTGCTAACAAACACAATAATCGGGGTAAACCAGGATTTGAACCCACAATCACAGGTTTCTGGCAGGGCCAAGGGACACAACTCTGGGGGCTGACTGGTGGCAGTGATAGTTTTGAGCTCTACGAATTGGCTATCGCTGTTAAGGGCTTGATGAACCTCACTGTCCAGAGTTTAATGGGACATTGACATTATCAACAACAATTCACTTTGCACCATGTTATCAAACAATACAATTACATGATAGGCTTTCTGTGTTTCAAGCAACAAAGTGTTTATATAATCTGCACTTAAGATGGTCTACATGCTATATCAACAGTCATGTCTTGGTGTTGTCTTGAGACAACATTACCATGAGACATCAAGTAGCAATTTTTGAAAATAAATCAGATGGTTTTCTTTGTTGTGTCAAAAATAAAATATATTCACAAATGCCAGCGTGTGTCCTGATGTTCATGCAATGTTTCAGACCTACTACCAAACTACCTGTTTCAGTCTGACGCTATTATACTAACTTTTGAATATCCTCTTCAATCTGTTTTACGTTATGAGATTCTGGCACCATGGTTCGACCTGTGGCGCTGCCAAAATCACACAACACATAGTTCCCCCCTTCTCCAATGAGGATGTTCTCAACCTGAAACATAGACAGTTCCATGTATGGGTTTAATGCTGCTTTGAACAGTATTCCAGTTATATTATTGCACGTCAGCTTCATGTGGGAGGTAGTGCAAAGTCATACAGATCTGACGTTCACAATTTAAGTGAAACCCACAAGCACGGGTATGGTGCCGACAAACCTGGAATCAAACAGGGCGACCTGGGATTAGAACTGTTTATTAGAGTGAGTGAGTTAGGTTTAACGCCGCTTTTAACAATATTCCAGTTGTATCACAGTGTGTCAGCTTAATGTGGGACGAAAGCCCAAAGTGATGCAGGTCTCAGACAGTTACCACTTTGGTGAAATCCACAAGCACGGGTATGGTGGTGACAAACCTAGAAACATAATCAGGGCGAATGGGGATTTGAACCAACGATCATAGGTTTCTGGAGTGTCCAAGGGAAGCAACTCTGCACCGCGAATCGCGGTGCCCCCACTGTTAATTTGAACCAATGATTAAAGGGTTATGGCATGCCCAAGGGACACCATTCTGCTCACAAATTGCTGCGCTTAAGACAATGAGCCACACATGGCCCCAATAATAGCATGAAAAGGAGGGCGGTCATCTACTTCCCACATGATACACACATCATCATGATCTTTTGTACAGAAGGAACAAGATTTATGTGACAACAGGATGAAAATAGATAAAGCCAGTGAGTTCTGTTGTTAGAAGCCTTTCTGACAGTGTTTTGTTGGTTTATTTGTTGTTTAACACCATACTCACCAATATTCCAGCTATATGATGGTGGTCTGTAAATAATTGAGTCTGGACCAGACAATCCAGTGACTGATCTACCCAAAATTGGTCCATGCATCAATCAAGTCAGTGATCCCGTTATTCGCCTTTCATGGCAAACATGGATTGCTGACGACCTATTCTACCAAGTTTTTCACGGGTCGACAGTGGTTTATTGACACTGGCTTACCTTGAGGTCCCTGTGTAATATGGGTGTCTGACAGTGGTGGAGACGAGACACTGCCTCAGACACATCACAGAATATTTTCAGCACTTCCTTCTCTGAGAAGCCACTGTTTATCCGGTCATTCATGAGTTGTATGACAGACCCTGGACACAGAACACAAAGTTAAGCCACCAATTATAAAACAAAGCATTTGCCACAACATTCACTCTGATTACAGCAGGCATTTTGATTTAAATTCAGCAGAATTAACTTCCTTAATTTCTGATATATGCTTGGAAATGCTGACATAGCCTTTACCAAAAACAAAACACAACTAATACTAAATGCAGCTGATCTTACATAAAAGAAAGAATGCTTTAGTTGATAAATGAGCTGAGAATAATTGTCAAATTTACTCTCATAAAATGAAATGTGCAGGAAATAGAAAGTCAGTGTCCAATGCTACTGCAGTACGATGACACTGCATTCAGCAATATTCCATCGACATGGAGGCAGCCTTTAAATAACTGAGTCTGGACCATACAGTCCAGTGACTAGATTTTGAGAATGTTGTGGTACGCTATCACGCCTCTTTCAACCAACATAGGCTCCTGGAGACCTACTCTGACCTGGAACCCCCTGGGGCATATATTAACTATGTGCACATGCATCCTACCTCTGCAGTATTGCATCAGGATGAGAACCTCGTACACTCTGTTTGGGGTGACCGTGACGCTGGAGTCAAGGAAATGGATGATATTCTTGTGACCACTGAGGTCTCGCTGCAAATGAAATATGGTTGAAATTCTTATTCAGTGCACAATTAAATTCAATATCTTGATCTGTTTGTTTTGATTGATGTTTAACGCAGCACTCAGCAATATTCCAGCTATATCATGGCAGTCTTTAGGCTAAAAAAAATAATAGTCTTGTTCTCAAGCACTGCCCACATCATCATAAAGTTCACTGCACATTTCGTTCATGAGTTTCAATTTTTTTTGTGCAATGTGTTTAGTATTAGGATTTATATATTTTTTTTGAAAATGGAAATAAATACAAAACATGCGGCAGACTTGATGATGATCAGTGATGATGCGGGTGGTGCCTGAGAACCAAGACTATTATTTTTTTTAAGCCTTAAATAATCCAGTCTGGACCAGACAATCCAGTGATTGACATCATGAGCCACGATTACGCAATTGGGATACGATGACATGCATCCATCAAGTCAGCTAGCCACCTGATACCGTTAGTCAAATCTTACGACCAACATAGTCACCTTTTTACGGCAGGCATGGGTTGCTGAAGACCTTTTCTAACCTGGATCTTCGCAGGTCGTACAAGTGTTACAACAAACTTAAAGTCCAGATTAGCTGCATATTTGCATAAAATACACTTAATACATCACCATGACCCAATTAAGTTGGAGTTGCTTGCATACATATACCCATGAAAAATTAAAAAATTTTAATAGTATATCAACACTGTGTGTAATTAGCCAATGTAGCCTTTCCAGCTTGCATACCCACATATCTTGACGCATCAATATCTTCTATTGAATGCAGGCACCACCTGTACATAAACTCTACTGCAGTGCACAAAAGGACTATGTCCTGCTTACTGCAACTGAGACAGGTGTTGTTGTGAGTTATGCAACATTGGGCGGCACATGCACAGAATAAACTTAGAATTTACCTGAAACATCAATTTAAGCAGAATTATTAAAAAAAATGTCTACCCATTGGTATCAAAACACCCAGTAGACTTGGTTGGTTGGTTTGTTGTTTTATGCCACGCTCAGCAATATTCCAGCTATGAGCAATCGATCCACGCAATTGGGATTGATGACATGCCTCAAACCAAGTCAGCAAGCCTTACCATCCGATCCCGTTAAACGCCTCTTACGACAAGCATAGTCGCCTTTTTATGACAAGCATGGGTTGCTGAAGACCTATTCTAACCCAGATCTTCACGGGTCCCCAGAAGACTGAATCCGGGGGAGGTAAAACATAATAAATACACAAACAGTACAATCAGATACCCAATGGGAATGACAAGAATGAGTAAATACTCAATGGTTTATAAAACATTATCTGGAGCCCTGGTTTTGTTTAATACTGTTTTGAACAATTGTGTGTCAGCTTGACGTGGGAGGAAGGATTGGATTGGATTGGATTGGATTGGATTGTTGTTTAACGCCGCACTCAGCAATATTCCAGCTATATGACGGCGGTCTGTAAATAATCGAGTCTGGACCAGACAATCCAGTGATTAATATCATGAGCATCAATCCACGCATTGGGATCGATGACATGCATCAACCAAGTCAGCGAGCCTGACCTACCGATCCCTTTAGTCGCCTTTTACGACAAGCATAGTCACCTTTTACGGCAAGCATGGGTTGCTGAAGACCTATTCTATCCCAGATCTTCACGGGTCCCCAGAAGACTGAATCCGAGGGAGTTAAAACATAATAAATACACAAACAGTACAATCAGATACCCAATTGGAATGACAAGAATGAGTAAATACTCAATGGTTTATAAAACATTATCTGGAGCCCTGGTTTTGTTTAATACTGTTTTGAACAATTGTGTGTCAGCTTGACGAGGGAGGAAGGACAGAAATAGTGCAGGTCTGCGTACGTTTACCATCTTGGTGAAGCTGATGAGCATGGCATGGTACTGACAAACCAAGAACCATAATCAAGGTGACCGGGATCCGAAAACATTTCTGGCATGCCTAAGGGCAGCTCTTACCAGCAAATTGCGGCACCTTATACCGTTATATGAATAGGCCATTAGTCCATCACACAAACTTAATGGTTTGTGAAAAGGTCTTTGACTCAATCAAGTGTTAAAGCATATCATCTTAAATCGAAAATGTGATCAGCCCAGCTGGATGCATGACTGATGCTACCTGATTACAAGCTCTTGTGAGGGTAAGACACTGGGGCTCACAACATCAGAAGAACTGAAAGGCACAAATCCAGTCCACTTCAAGTGCCAATAGGACGTTATGGCAATAATTGGGTAATTATGTGCAATCATTACCAATAGATGAGTACTCACAGCAATTTTGATTTCTTTTTGACAGACTGCCAAATCACGGTCATTGTTGACGTACATGCGCTTGAGGGCATAGCGGGATCCATTTTGAGCCTTCACCAAAAACACAATGGCAAAACCACCTGGAAAAGAAACAGAATTGATCAGTTATTGTCGTCGGTTTCATTCAGTGCCAGCTGCCGCAACACGTGACAGTCAAAGCTCAAACTGCGGATCAATCTCAAGTAACTCTAGACTTCTCCTAGCTCTAACGCTTGCTGAGTGATGTATAGAGTTATAACCAATGTCAAACAAGACACTATATAACAAGGATTACACTGCAGTAAGTTAGTGACATAGACATTTGTATCTAAGCCAAAGTAATGGAATTATAACGATTGGGTTGGGAAATTGAGGAACTTGTACAATCATAAGAGACTGCAGGTCTTTTCAGCCAACATTTAAGGTTACATTTTTTCATTAAGTAATTTCCAGGAGACACACAGAGGAGAAAATATGTTATAACCTTTTCATAAAAACAGCCTTCAAAATTCATGCTAGTCCATGACTAAATTGTGCTGAGGACAGAGTAAAACCAATGATTGTAGTTCTCATTGACTAGTAGCATTTGAGAGCTATAACATTGAACCATTTTTCAAAGCTTCACTTTATCTACAGCTTGAATAAACTTGAATAAAACTGACAGAAAATGAAAACATAGTACACATTTTTGTCTTGTACAAGCATGACTAGCTACAAACTCTGAGGACTAATCTCTAAAAAAGGCTGAATAAATGATTCATTTCCACATGTGTTCATGTAAGCATTTTAAGTCAGTTAACACGAACAGTTGAATGTTTACCGGTAGCTTAATCCTTCACAGGGATGAAATTAAGCTGTCAACATTTACGTGACAGACATGTACACAGTATTAAAAATGATTTATTTATTTATTTATTTGTTTGTTTCACACTTAACCCAGCAATATGACAGCGGTCTGTAAATAACCAAGTCTGAACCAGACAATCCAGTGAGTGAATATGGTTTTACGAATATGGTTTTATGGGAAATCGAAATGTCTTCAGCGTGACTTGTGAAAGCATTAACCACTAGGCTACCCCCCCCCCCCCACCTCATGACAATCCAGTGACTGACATCATGAGTATTGATCTAAGCAATTGGGATACAATGAAATGCATCAACCAAGTCAGTGAGCCTGACCACCTGATCCCGTTAGTTGCCTATTACAACAAACATGGGTTGCTGAAGACCAATTCTAACCCGGATCTTCATGGGTCTATTTACTAAAAATAAGACCTAAAAGCCTTCAATGATAGCAGTGTTTGAAATACATAAAATTGACAACAGCTACTGCCATTAGGACCAATAGACTTCAGAGTGAGTGAGTGAGTTGGGTTTAACGTCGCTTTTAACAGTATTCCAGTCATATTGCAGCATGTCAGCTTAATGTGGGAGGAAAGCCTGAAGTGATGCAGGTTTCAGACGTTAACCACTTCGGTGAAACCCATGAGCACGGGTATGGTGCTGACAAACCTAGAAACATAATTGGGGCGAACCGGGATTCGAACCCACAATCATAGGTTTCTGGCGTGCCCAAGGGACGCAACTCTGCACAGCGAATCCAGCGCCTTAGACGACTGGGCCACCCGAGCCCCCACAGACTTCAAAAGCTGCAGGCCCTGACTAAACTCTTCAGGCTCTCATTAAAAAATACTGCAGCTTACTGTGACAAATAAATAGACTCATAAATTTACTGCAGGCCACAAGGACTATGGGCCCAACATGAGATCTACCTGCCACGGGCTTAAGGGCGGGCAGGCACTCACTTTCTCACTGACTGATAGAAATATATATACATGATACACATGTTACAGTGACAATACCTGGTGAGTGTCAGATGTTACTGTGGGAGTGTGATGATTCTAGTATGTCTTCATGTTTACTCTCACCACATGTGGTGGTGAAAGGTCCACCCAGTTACCCTATTGGGCGACAGATAGGGATGTGTACCATATCAATATATCAGTAATTTTTAATATTGATGCAGTTTCGATACAAATGACTGAATATTGATCTGTATTAATAATTCACTGCCCGAGACCTGTTCACATTTATTAAGGTCACCATGGTAAAGATTGACAATGAGGCAGAAATTCAATTCTAAGGATCTAACAGATCAGCCTAGTGCATATTTAGCATTAATAATTGCGGGTCTAATTAGTAATGTTAACTTTACACATACAGAATAATTAATTGTATTGTTGGTCGATGTATCAAAATATCGCGGTACTTATATATCGACTTCACTCTAAAACTTTCAACTAACTACAGCCCTAGTGACCATCAATACATAGTTAAACAATTCCCTTTGTTCTGTGTCAATATGACTGAAACATTAACTGAGGAACCTTTGGGGGTCTCTAGAAAAATACTAAAATCTTAGAGCAATCATATTACATTATACATCTTATGACTAGTAAAGCATACCTTATTTGAAATTATTTTCATTCTTTTTCAATCTTATTAAATTGGGAATAAAATATTCATATTCAACTGGCATTAACATATATAAGTTTGATTCACCATGTTTCAGAGATTCCGTTACCTAGGCAATATGGAGCTCTTGCCCATGTATGTGTAGATCTATGTTCACTGTTTTCATAGGTTGGGTTCCAAATTCCATGTACTACAAGGACAATGGCACAGCTAAGATAAGTTCCAGGTGCCTGAAGTCCCCACTTAGAAATCACATTTTTTTAAAGCAAAAGCACTTATTACATCGAATGGACTTTCACAAAAGTACAACGGACAAGAATGTGAAAAATAAATACATAAACATGCTTAATGAACAGTATAATCCAGTGAGTGAGTGAGTGAGAGAGAGAGAGAGAGAGAGAGAGAAAGAGTATTGTTATACACTGCTTTTAGCAATATTCCAGCAATATCACAGCGAGGGACATGGGATTCACACATTGTACCTATGTGGGGAATCGAACCTGGGTCTTCGGCGTGACGAGCGAACGCTTTAACCACTAGGCTACCCCACTGCCCCTAATTCACAAAGTTTGTTTGTTGTTTAACGCCGCACTCAGCAATATTCCAGCTATATGATGGTGGTCTGTAAAACCTGGGGATGCAGAAACTGAAAAGGATATTATGTTTAAAAAAACAACAAATCCTTTCTTACACCATTTATTTTTATATGGGGCTCCACTTCCCTGAGCAACAGGGATTTCTGAATAAAAACATAATCATAATCATAATCATAAAAAATAAAATATAAAATAAGCAACAAACATGGTGAAACGACATTCACAGAGGTTGAAGATGGGATCAAAAGTATTGTTCTTGTTGGCATACTTCAAATTCATATGGCACACTTCAGTGATTGAGTTAATATTTAACGTCACATCGGCATTATTTCAGCCATATCGTGATGAATGGCACACTTGAAAGAAATGGGGTCACTTGCCAATAAGTAGTTAACTCAAACGGATTTTTCGGGAGCGATGCTTTCTGCTATTGTCATTTTAGTACAGAAAATAAAGCTGAAATTCATGTTCCTTAAATCTGCTTAAGCATGTTAAGTAACTATTTCTTTTTCTGTGAAATATGATTCAAGTGTAAACTTAAAGAGGCAGTGATCATGCTAAAATGGCTGTTTCCTCAAACTACAAAGCTCTTGAACAACTGATGTGACAAGGAAACTGGAGGAAGAGCAGGAAGTAGAGACTGTTAATATCAGGAACCTATATGTCATTGTCTTCTTGCTTCGGGTCATTTTAGGTCAAACCCAGATTCTCTTTATTCCTAAAACAGGTCAACAATATTGCTGAGTGTGGACTTTCTGGTCAAGGTATAGACTTCCAGAATTAACCTACATTCAACTTAAAAATCAGTTTTGCAACAGAACTAGCAAAAGAAAATATAATTCATAACATCTAACACCTGAGCATGCTGTGAGAGTAAGCCAATGTGAACAGCTTTTCAATTTTATTTTAATCGCTATCATGCGAGAAGAAAACCTGAAAAAATGCTGACTCTATGTGAGTGAAATCAACGACCACAGCTATGACACTTCCAAACCAAGAATCATAAGGATACATCTCAGAACTGAACCTCCAAACAGTGGATCTTGGTAGCCAAGGGATGCAACTCTGCAAAGCTAGTTCAATTCAGTGCCTTAAACTACTTGGTCACCAGAAGCCATTATTAAACTAATGATAGTATTTTCATTTGTTATAAATCTAATTCAAAATGAACCCTTTAGGGTTTCTTTACAAAACTGACATGCAAATAGTTACTCTTGAAGAGGTCAGTATGCGAAAACAAGGGCCCGACCCCTGAGGTGGTACAAGGGCCCGACCCCTGAGGTGGTACAAGGGCCCGACCCCTGAGGTGGTACAAGGGCCCGACCCCTGAGGTGGTACAAGGGCCCGACCCCTGAGGTGGTACAAGGGCCCGACCCCTGAGGTGGTATGACCGAATCACGGTTGCAGGCCAAGATCCAGTCAGACCAGAGAAGGGGTCGGTTGATCATGTGACGAGTCAATATTTGAGGTCAGTGATAGCCATGTTTCGGGGGAAAACCTTGAAATGTACTGTTCGTCACTTGATGGGGATTAACTAATACTAGTAATAGAATTGCAAGATTCTTAATAGAGGTAAAACAACATTGTTTGAAGGAATTTACATGAAAAGTCTTTAAGATATCAAGGCTTGATATCAACATTTGGATTGGACTGTATGTCAATTCATTTTTCCGATCTCAATGAGATATCCCTTCAATTTTGTATTGTTACGTCTTGAAATGGTTTTGCGATACATTTTAGAAACAGACTTGATGTTCAATTGATTCATATTTCCAAATTTGGAAAAGATCAAATTCTATATCTGAAAAATCACTATTTCAGAAAATGGCACCACTTTCAACATGTTCACCTGTATAACCAAGAGCTTCAGATGGCTGTGGGTCACCACATAGCAATTCCATTTAACAGACAGTTTGCTTAAGTTGTCGTTTTTTTTACCGATAGAAATGCTAAGCAAGGCGTCACATGTTTTATAATTTCACAATTAAAAAGTAAATAGTAAGCATTAGTCCTACATCCAGTATTGATTT